TGTTGCGACTTTAGGATATACGAGTGTACGTCAACTGAGGTTGTCTTTTTAATATTACGACCAAAATGACAATAATTACAAGAGTTACAGACTTTTGTCCGTATCTTCGAATATTAACAATGAAATCGTTAAGTTGAACAAAATAAGTAAAGTAGTTAATACAATAAATGGTGAATGTCAATCAGAAAAGCGAAACTGACGTCTCAGCTGTCAAAGACGTCGGAGTGATGAATGAATCTGTTTATCTTGAACTGAACAGTGCTCTGACCCGTCACTAAACACTGAGTGCCAATCAACTAGTAATGTTTTGGTAGTAATTCAATAGTAATGGTCAATTACGACAAAACGTAATATATATGTTTACCTTGAACTGAACATTAATTTGGCCTTTCTTAGTACGAAGATATCTTTTGGCAATGTGTTGGCAGTAATTGAATAGCAATGCGAAACATACATCTAAAGAGTTACACATCTTGGGCTGAATATCGCTTATGTATCGTCAAGATTTTCAAAAGTTCACAAAACAGAGCATTTTGGCCTAGAATGTAGTTGTAAGCTATTTTTGTTTTTATTGTTTCCTCTTTGATCTTTTAAATTCCTTTAGACGACGGAGGAAGACTACAAAAAATCAAGCATTCACTATGAATAGGATGTGCGTGTTGTAGTTCCTTAGTTGCTGAATTGCGTAAAAAAATGCATGTCTTAACCGGAACATAGCGTACAACAGTTAATTTATATTCATCTGCCACTGTCAATTATAAGTTATCGATTTGTTTCGGCAATATAATAATAATATGACAGTAGTTGTTGATTTATATTTTGCTTACTACCCCAGCACGAAAATATATATTATGTGATAGAGAACAATATTAGATAATAATCAAACAGTTTGATTGAAGCACAACTCAACCGGTTATATCACAACTTAGTATTATGTAATCAAATTACATAGTCAAAATTCTTATAGGCTACAATTTCTATAAGCTCAGTACATTTACGTCAATTCAATACAATTGGATATTTTAGTAAGAAGTCGTAAAGGAAAGACGCAGATCACTTTGGTTCTCGTAGTAATTAAGCTCGTTTGAAATCTTAGATTTGTCTTGACATTCCGACACGCTTCTCACTCCGCCCTAGATGGAACGATTCTGGAATTTAATTAGTCGTTAATTAACATTGAGAACGGATTTTCTAATACAAATCTAAATGCTTACCTATAGTTGTCAAGTGCATTAATATTGAATTAACTAGGCGTTGTTTAATTATAGATGTCCTTGAACAGGGCTACAAACTTTTTTTGTCAAATTTCATGTTCTGTATGTGTAAACATGTTTACAGATTCATCTTTTTTAGTTTACTTAAAATTTAATGCAGTTTTGAGTAAAGGCGTAAGAATGTATAATTCCGTATTAAATTATTATCTACAAATTGGAATATAAATAGGTATACATATTATATACCCAAAGTAATTTTGTAAAAATATCTTGCGATAAAGGGGACAAGATTATGTATGCTACGTTTTACGTTATCGTTTAGGTATATTTTAGAGACAAGCAAACTCAACTTGTATGAGCCACTAACATGGTATGTACCTAGGGTTGGGAACCTCCCCTATACCTTGTAGTTGGTTCCTCAGGAGCTGTAAGGCCTTTTCTGTCTCCTTACTTCCTACTAAATGGGCTGATGATATTGTTCATTGGTTATCATGGGGTAGGCGAGGATGTCCCTAATGGGACAGAACCATGCTTTAAGCCTCTGTCATAAGTTGGTAATAAATTTGAGAGCCATTTTAATTGAAAACAAGATTATTTAGCATAACAATAATAAATAAACTATACCACTTTACACACATAATGAAACAGACAATCACGAAATTGCAGAGAGACTATAAATTCAACGATTATGACAATGTATTCAAAGATTGGTTGCGGAAGTGTTTCAACATTATAAAGAAATTTAAAAGTGAATGTAGAGAACATGCAACAGGAGGTTAAAACTCCACGCTGCTCATCATACTATTTACATAAGTAAAATCATCAGAGAAAATCCTTTCTGGCGTTATAAAATTGTAAAAGCAGATTTTATGACCCGTAGAATGTAAGGATATCTTTGAGAATCGCAGCGATATGCACAAACGAACATGAATACGAGAATCTGACCCTTCAATAAGGGTGAGATTGTCGATATCCGTTTACAACTGCTTGGATATCCAAAGAGTGTTCGACCTTTCCTTGTGCACAGGAATGCTTGGGTGTCTTTTTAAAATACATTTGTTGAACCGTGTTCTTTTTTTACTGTTTTGAACAGTTGTAGACCTCGTGGTGATGGTCATTTTTATCTGAAAATTTAAAACATTATGTTGAACAAAGAATTATAAGTTCTTTAGTTAAAACCTACGAGCCCTTTATGTTTATTACATACATTTTTGGAGTAGCTCTATTTACAAGTATGAAATGAAATTATATATGTAATTAAATTACGTGTGTAGGTAGGTACATATTACGTATACATTACGTACATATTACGTGTATATTACGTATATTTTAGGTATGTTTGACGTATTAAGTATATTGATAATGTTACCACCCTGTCTTTCCCGGCGGGGGAAACACTTTGGAAATGCTTCCCCTCGTAAGAATTTCCACTTCGGACGTCGTGGTTTCCTTTACAGTTAATTAGTCTACGTGGCCTCCTGCTCTGACAATTAATTACCTACCGCAGGTCGCACCTTCTTCTCCTTAGAAAATGTTATTATATGCTATTTCACTTTCTAACGTTTTTTTAAATACAAATCCTATATATTACCAAGTAATTCTATTTCGTACATATTATTAACTTTAGTAAGTTATCCAAAACAATATTTTTATATTAGTAATATTCTGAAACACACTACAAGCTATCACATTAGATGAACACAATAATTGCTCATTGTGTTTAATTTGTTTTCTGAGGTATACAAATAAGATCTTGTTTCAACTCACCTTATAAGAATTGCGTTAAATGTACTGATGATGTCCGATTGTAGCGGATCAATTGACTGATTTGCGTTTTTGTGCTGTAATATTATGTTAGATTAGTTTTTTATCGGGGTTACATTTCTCAAAACTCTAGAAGTGGATATATTTCTTGACCGTTGCACTTTTATGAGATAACTTTCCAAAGGATTCTTGATTTTTACCGAATACATTTGGATAATTCATATCTTTAGGGGGCGCTGATATAGGCAGCGTCTGTTGAGTTATTGTTTGTGGCATTTCTATATGTTTAAAATTCTCGAAGAACTGTAACTTTACTGTGTATTGATACAAAGAAGTAGAATGTGTTTGGTTTTTGTCAACAATATGTTTTATTGATTTACGAATTAACTTCTTCATCATCAAAAATAGAGACGTTTAATTTTTCCTCGAATTCTATTAATTCCTCCTCAAGAATGTCGTTTACAATATACCCTGTAATAGAACATCGTTCTGTCTTATAAATTAGTACATTTATACTTCAGATTGAATCTAACAGATTTATATCTAACTATTGAAGTATATGAGTCAGACCTCCCTAGTTCGAGACAGATCATTTCCATTATCGTATTGTTGTGATCTCCACTAGCTTTCCCATCTTACTTCACCGAAACAGAATTTAATTATATTTAGATAATGGAATCGACCAGTAGTCTATGGTGACGAGCAGTTATATTTTCCTTTTATAAAAAATAAATAAATTCATGGCAAAATGACTCCAGATCAATAATTCAAACTATAAACAAGTTTTTTTGTATCCACTATCCCTGGATTAACGGACTGAAAATCCACGGATATTCAAGGAAAGCTGTAAATGGATATTGACAATCTTTTCCGCATTGTAAGGTCGTGTTATTGGCTTCATATTCTTTTATGCTTGCTCCGATTTCTCAGCTTATGCTTCCACTGTTGAACCAGTGTTTCTTAAAACGTTTAGCAAATATTGGCTTATAGTTGGAAAAAACTTTAGTTCCAAAATATTAACTTGATTCCTTAATTCTACTCTTATTAGGTTATTTAACTTATTTGTACAACATTATTTTTAGTTGAAATACTTTCTGAACAATTTTAAATCATTACTTTTGAGCTCACTGCTTTCAACTGTAATGGATAGTCGAGCTATTCATAACTTTAAATCAACACTAGTGGACTCGTAATCATCCTGAATAACTTTTAACATTTATATTGTTGACTGAAAACAAACCATCTACATTAAAATGAAACACTTAAGTTACTTAAAATTGATTACCAACTTAGAGAATATAAATTGGGATAAGAGCTTTAGAAGACGATAATTTTCGTTGACCTCAACAGCAATCAGTTTCGATAGATTGTGATTAAAAATAATATTTGTACGTCGACGGTTACTACAAGGGATTAAATTGCATCTTAAGGACTTGCATACTTATCTACTACAGGCTCACCCCGCTCTGCCCACCTCTGACACCTATTGGCATTATGTCACGGCTGATTAGACTGTGTTATCAGTTGACGGTTGAACGCCCTCTTTGAGCTTGTCATCTTGACTCACGCTGTACACTTCACACGAGGCTATGTGCTTGAAATTACCTCAAGTTTTATGTAAATAATACCTACACTTAACTGAAGTTTAAATATTACAGTGACTTTTTAGCGTAAAGTAGGTCACAAACGGGAATAGTAAAATTACCAAGTTTGTTCATCATTTAGATTTAATAAAGAGCAATCGATCAAAATGTTAATATTCTCGTTCATATATTCAGAGGTTCGTTGGATGATAGTATTTTTGTTTATGTATATAACATTAGGTATTCTATTCCATTATACTTAGGGGCCTATGAGTAATCTGTATCGATAATACATAAATTAAGTACTATATGTATATTTTAAGCCTGTCTAAGGCAAAGTCGATTGCAATACTTGTCTTAACTTTGAATTAACACGATATGCAATTTAATTTCACCAATAAACTAAATCTTTTTGGAAAAGGTTCAAACTAAAATACCATTTACGTTTGTAAAAACGTATAACTTTATTTAAACAAAATAGTAAATAAACAAAAAAATGTTTTTTGGTCCGGAACTTGAAATGTGTAGGAGTCTAGTCGTCGCCTCCTGTCATGACTTCCATGAATTCTGGAACAAATAAAGTTATATCAAACACCATGTAAGTGCAAACTTGATATAACAAAGATAATTAACAAGATAAAGAAGGAGAATAACACGAATCCAAAAATAAGAAGAACATAAAAGGAGTAAACCCCAAGAGGCATGTAGAATTTAATTCACTATATAATAAAGAAATCGCGATTGAAATGCTCTATTTCAACTTCAGCACGACGTAGCCATCAGTTGAGTTAAGGGAACAACATATCTCACTCACAAAAGTCATCGTTCAGCTTAGATAATTAAAAAGTTAGGTTGCTCAAAATGTCTCTTCCATTTGTGTTTGATTTGTTGTAATGTAGAGCACTGATGGAGATTTTGTAATGGATATTTTATATTAAAGTTGCTCATACGTTGTGTTAGTGGATATACCGAAATCGAGCACATCATTGTCACATCGAAGCCCAAAAGGTTAACTACTAAGCAATCAAGTTACGTTTAACTGATTATTTGTTGCTCTTAGGCCTCTTGTCCGTACACTAACGTACAAAGCCATCTTCCCGACATCTTTCTGAGCAAAAAATAGGGTTTTTGAAGTATAGGCTATCATATTTTCTCTGATGTCTAAGGGAATAAGTAAGAAACATCACTGTTTAAAATTTGCTAGAAGTTAGGGCTAAGAAGTACTTAAAAAATTAAATGAAGAGATTATGTAGGAAAAGACGATGAGGTGATGTGAGAAGAGATTGTGTGTTTTGACAATGTCACCCGATTCATCTGGTAAAACTAGAATAATGTAAACTAATGTACAAAACCATCTTCCCGACATCTTTCTGAGCAAAAAATAGGTTTTTTGAAGTATAGGCTATCATATTTTCTCAGATGTCTAAGGGAATAAGTAAGAAACATCACTGTTTTAAATTTGCTAGAAGTTAGGGCTAAGAAGTAATTAAAAAATTAAATGAAGAGATGATGTAGTAAAAGACGATGAGGTGATGTGAGAAGAGATTATGTGTATTGACAATGTCACCCGATTCATCTGGGAAAACTATAATAATGTAAACTAATGTACAAAACCATCTTCCCGACATCTTTCTGGGCAAAAAATAGGTTTTCTGAAGTATAGGCTATCATATTTTCTCAGATGTCTATGAGAATAAGTAAGAAACATCACTGTTTTAAATTTGTTAGAAGTTAGAGCTAAGAAGTACTTAAAAAATTAAATGAAGAGATTATGTAGGAAAAGACGACGAAGTGATGTGAGAAGAGATTATGTGTATTGACAATGTCACCCGATTCATCTGGGAAAACTAGAATAATGTAAACTTTTTGAGGCAATAAACGAGTTATGACTTATTAGAGGAGGTGACTTAACATATATAACATAAAACTATTTACCATCGAAGTCGACGGTGCCGGAGCCGTCAGTGTCGATTTCAGTGATGATCTGGTCAAGATCATCTGAGGTCAGCTTGTCGTCCAACTCCTTCAGGATCTCTCTCAGGACTCCCGTTGAGATGTATCCGTTACCTGGACAACACAAATTATTAACTGTAGGGGTAACTTAAAAAATTTGAAAATCATAGAAGGGATATCTTGTATCGGTCACATTCGCCAAACAGTGTATAATAGCTGTGTAGGTCGAATGGAGATAGTGCTTGCTATACTCTGTATGATACAACCTTTCTCTGACCGTCTACCTGGGAACTGGCCTAAGTAGATGGAGGTTCAGGAGTCATGTTCCATCGTTCCATCCATATGATACGCTATCTTACAACCTCATCTTATATCCAAGATTTAAAGTCTCACTAGCTACATTAGATATATTTTTCATTGAAAATAAGCTATGTAGCCTGCAATAAATGTTAACTATATTCTTTATCAGGTTACTACATTGATCGCCAAGTGGTTCTTGCCATCTAAAGAACAGGATTACGAGTTTCGACGACAATGCTATCTGTTATTGTTGCTGTTGTATTTCTTCTTACAGATGTTTTATTTCAAATGCTACGCTATCCTATAACCTTCATCCATATCCTTTTCACTATACACGTTTTTGACCTCATCATAATCTTCATTTTGTCATATTTATAAAGTGTACCAGTTTTTGTACACTTAAAAAAACCCACACGTGTCTAACTTCTCCAGGCTTATCCATGACTTCTTCTCCAACAACCCCCAAATCACACATTTCCCTGCACATTTTCTTTTCCACTCTTCTCCCCTCTTCTCCCCTCTTCTCCCCACACCACAGACTCACCCTCCTTGTCGTACAGCCTGAAGGCTTCCTTGAGCTCCTCCAGCATGGCGGCGGCGTCCACCTCCTCCTCCTCACCCAGGAACTGAGCTGCGAGGGTCACGAACTCCTCAAACTCCAGTTGGCCGGATCCTTATAACAATACAAGTCATTGTGTGAACAAGTTGAATGTGTAACAACTTATTACTTGTACAAAAGTTTCTGCAAAATTGAAATAAATATTGGCTTTCATTAACTGGTGATCCATGTGAAAAGACATTATACTCTGTTCTTAAAATTTAGGTGGTTTTTATGGGAAGTCCCCCCACTACTTTTTTCTATATATGGTACAATTACTGATGTTTTGGCAAACCTCAGTGGTTGAGCTATTATTTCAAAGAGATAGTTTCAAGTGGAGGGGATAGATTTCTCCCCCATAAAATTGCATATATTTTCTAGACGGATTAATTCATATCATAGTAAACACAATGTATTGTGCCTATTTTACGAATCAGCTGGTTTAGGTTCCTATCATCGCTGAAATCAGCTGTTATTGTAAACAAGTAACGGTAATGGTCAAAGCTCATGGTGGAAGGAAAAAACATAGGTGTGCTATTCCCACATATTCTGACGTCACTCGGATTGCAAACAAGAGATCACCTGATTGTAACTGTCAAATTAGTATGTATTTGTTTTGACTTGATTGTTATTGTTTTTATCACAATAAAATATGTGGGAATAGCACACCTATGTTTTTTCCTTCCACCATGGTCAAAGCTTTAGTCAGCCAACTTAAATGGAAACACAAATTTGAATAGGATAAAAAATCAAAGCTATTTTTTATATTCAACCTTAATTTTTAAAACTATGTATTTGAAATCGAAATTCTCTGGGGATGAAAATTCTTAAACTATTGTATAAATAAGTTATAAATAATTTAAGGCACTACAAAGTTCACTTTAGGTATTTTCATACCGTCAAAACTCTATAGGACAACTTGCAATTTAAGATAACAGTATACAATTTAGGGGGTTTGCATATATTTTCTTTGTGCGGCATGATTCTACCAACTGTTTATTGAGCATTTATTTATTTGAATTATGTATATCATACACTGTGTGATGGAGAAAAGATTCCAATTAACGTTTCAAAATAACTAAATTATTTAGAAATCCGCACCATCATAATGTAGTATGATGACCGTGTTGGAAGCATTGGCCAAAATAATGTTCGTTACGGGTGAATTAAAGTGGTGTTTAAGAGAGAAATGTGACTTGAGGAGATCCTCAAAAAGTATCAAACGCTTAAATATTATTTTTACGTGACAAATTAATGTAAAGTATCGCTGTCTAGAGACGTGGTATTAGAATACCACGTGTAGGAATTAACTCTGCTACTAACGGATGCCAACACATATTTCAGTGGCCGTCTCGCTGCCAAAGTTTACCAATTTTATGACATTTTCTGTGTTAACAACTTACATCACCGTTCCTAGTGATAGCTGTTGTAATATACTCACATCTACTAAATTATTAAATTTCTTTTCATTAATTTATAATTAAGTATGAAATGTGTCCATAATAAATCTTAGTTTTACTCTTAAACATTTCAACATTAACATTATTTTAAGTCGTGGTTTTGAATTTCTCAAAAGATAATCAAATTGAAACCTCGTACAGTCACAAATTCCGGACTTACCAATTTTAAATTTTCCTCCTTTTAAAATTATAAAACAACGGTTGTAAATACTTTTTCAAATGCTTTTTTAACGTTGCTGCTTCGAGTGGGTAAAAAGTGCATTTGAAATTGCATAAACTGTTGATTAAATAAGTAATAGATACATTCCCGGAATATCGCTACTGAATACATGTAAAATTCAATGAAATGAGTAACAACCCCAAGTAAGAAACACAATTATAAACTTTCTAAACTTTGGTAATTATTTTTTACAGTTTTCTGGTGAATTTACTGTTAATATCACGAAAAAACTTCCCTTTTTCAAATGTCATTTTGTATAATTTTAACGTTAAACATTTTGTATAACGAAACGTTTAAGCATCTTAATCAGAGATCCTAGTGGCAAATCTAACAGTGTTCATTATGTAAAAGACCTAAACAATTTGTAACTGACTTTAAGTGACTTTATGTGAACTGCTCAACTGACGGGAATGTTCGTTTAATGACTCGAACGTCCTGATAAAGAGGTGTTAAAGATGGTTTACCTCAAGTTATCGTCGAAAAGACAGTTTAAACTTTAACAAGCGAGAGAAATCGAGTGGAAATACAAGATTGTTACCACTTCGTTAAAACATTAACTGAGTTTTATGGTTTTTATGTTTCATGGATTTTTAAGACTGTCCGATGTAAGTTTTTGACGTTAAAATCTATATGACATAATTTAGGAATTAAACGTATGAATTGGGATATAAAGATGGGCCCTTGTTAAATATTTTGACATAAAAATTATGTTAAAACTTTTTTGCATACCGGTATAGTGTAATGGATTGTTTGTTCCGTTCACCTAGAGTGTTTTCGTCAAATTAAACCTTTCTTTCAGCTATACAGTTTATTTTAAAACCATTAGTTCTGTAATTCTTTTTTTACGTCAACTATTTATCCAAGATTTTTTGCTTTTGATATTATTTAAATTACGTGCCATAACGTCTTAAAATAGCTTTCGAGTATGTCTATAAGAAAATATTACTTCATATATTAATTTGTACAGTCGACTGGTTATCAATGAAAATTAGAATAGTAAACAAAACAACCTTTTGCAAAACAACATAATTCTTATTTTTTAGACATTATGTGTCATTCCAAAAAATCTAAAAAATAGGAACACATCTAATCTCATGTAACTACCGCGCCAGGAAACGATGTTTTAATATAATTTAGTTTTTTCCGAATTCGTTCTCTATCCCATATATACAATGTGAAAATTGAATTTACTACGTAAATATTTGTCGTAAAATGCAAATAACGCGAGTTCCATCGTCAACAGCTGTGTAATCTTGTACCTTCCCCAGATTGTGAACATCTACAGTTCTCGGCGGATTCCATGCGATGCTATTATAAGACCTGGCACTTCCAACCTGCCCACTGTGTATACGCCCACCGTTGTACTTCCCCCAACTTTGAAATTTGTTTTTGATAAATAATGTCGTAAATTAAAAAAGATTTAGTTTTCTGAAATTGAGAGATAGTCTTTACAGGAATAAGTGCGTTAGGCTTCTTGGCTAAGTCAGGATTTCTGTAAAGATAAATTTAACTCAATAGATATATTTTATAGCTATACAAAGTTTTATTGTTTGTGTGAATAACTTAATAAAAAATAATAACACAACTAGTGTTAGATAATGGACATATCTTATCATTTTTCAAAAGCTGATTTTGTTTTTTAGTGTTTATAACACAGATTATTTCTATTTCTTCCCCTTGGTGGTGTTCTATGTCTTTCCTATGTTTCCATAGTTTGCAAATCGTCTCTTTCAATGATTACTAAGAAATGCAGCACAGTGTTAATTCAGTTTTCGTTTTAGTATATTAATTTATCCAGTCTCTCTTGTTTTTCCCCATTGTAATATTTACGCCAACCCAAATTCAAATAGTAACTATTTTATTTCCACCAAGCAAGTAAATGTTTGTGGCAAACTAACTGTTGAATTAGCAAACTTGTTGACTGTTAACAATTAACATATGTTCTTCTTCTCACTTTTAATTTCTGACAACAGCTGGAGTTTCATAACAATATTTGTTTCCCATGTTAATCTTATGGAGAAATACGAAACTTAAAGGGCCCCAGGGCCTCACCCTCTAAGTATTTCCCTAAAAAGAAAGTTTCCTGTACAACTTCACGTTACGCTCTTTCCAATGACACCAAGAACATGTAAATCGGTTCAGTAGTTTCGAAGGAGTAATTGTCACAAAAAACCTGCTTGCGTATTAAAAAAGTATAGATTTTTGAAATAATTTGATACACCTTCATTTTACACAACTAACTACCTAGTTAATTTTAGTTAGTAAATTAGTTTGAAACTATTTATATCAAAACGTTGAAGATTGTTAAAAAAATTTAAAATTGAATTGACCAACAAAAGAGTTGTAGAGTTTGAAGAACTACTTTACCGAGATTGAGGTTAGGAAGACTTAATGAATGTCAATACAACTTTACAAAGACTCCACCGAACCGACCTGGGTTCTGCTCAAATAAGTTTAATTAAAAATTATTCCACCATTGCGAACTTTAATTACTTCTGTGAACGCGGCGGGGCGTTAAAGAACACCAGAATTGGTTTTTGAACTAGATGAGTTTTCAGAGGTAAGGGACAAAGTTGGGAACAAGGGTCACTGGGTAGGGAAGATTTGTTCGTTTAGGTAATTTGTAATTATATCTTTGATGAGTTTTTCTGGCAATAATTACGTGGTAACGACTTTAAAAACAATTATAAATGAAGGGTACACGAGAAAAAGGGGCTCATCAACATTTTATAGATTTTTCAGGAACAGCTGTTTTCTGTTTACAAGTTGAATAATTTTATTAAATTTGGTCTTTAAAAAATTAGTAGATGACTTACTAAATACATAATTGTTATTTTGTGCAATAGAGTGTTAAAAATATTAATTTATACATTGTATTTAATTAAAATTTTAAAAAAGTTGCTTTCAGTACACAAATTGCACGGGAAGAAAGGGCTCATTTTAGCAATGAACTCTTATTTCCCCAGTTTTTTTAGGTTAGATAGGGTAATGGTAGGTTAAAATAACATGCACTCATTTGACACATCAAGAAATACAGTTTTATTTAAATAAAATTAACAAAACTATCCAAAGAACTCAAGAAAACATCTAGTACTGTAAATCCTGAATAGGGTTAAAATGTGTCTTCATCATTCATGCAATAGTTTCTCGAAGTATTCGGCTGCAGATGGGCTACAAAATTTCTTCAAGTCTTGAAGGTCTTTGTACTTTGCTTCTTTTAAGGGCAAACAATCTGAAAAGATCCAATATATCATAGTGGTTAAGCCACTTAAATTTATAAAATTAATAAACCCTCCAACTGCTAACGTTCGCGATCGTGACTCTTAGTTTTGGGTTTTTGTTGTTAAAACGTGTCTTGATGTTTATTACCTATAATAATGTATATTTTCTAACCCCCCATTAAATTCTGGACAAACTATTTATCTTGATTTTTTTATTTATTGTACCAAAATCACGTAACAGGCTTCATAAACTAAAATAATGTATCTTTTTTGTATTTCTGAAATTGAGCCTATAGCCTACTCACACTAAACCTATTGAAAAAATTGTGATTTTCATATTGCTCTATCGCTCATTTTATTTTCTTTCATAAACTATATAGTTTTATACATTTAAGCTACAAAATGAGTTTTTTATATCCATTTATGTAAATGTCTGCGCCAAGTGTCAAACATACCTATAGCAGTTAATCGAGCACTCAGAAGGTTAATAGGTTTGAACAATTAGACATTTTTATTTATTTATAATAATAATTATGCATACAAAGCATTTTTATTTATTCATTTACTCTTTGGGATGGGTTATATTAGCCTATGTAAGGTTAGGTTAGATTAAGTTAGGGTAGGCCTATGCTTGTAATCGATAGATTAGATTAGGTTACCTAGGTTAGGTTTGGTTAGATCAGGCGAAAATTAAATTAAGTGATTGGCATAAACTTAATAGCTTACCTTTATAGCACGAATCAGGAAGGTTGAATTCATCCGACCTTCCAACATTGACTGGTGGCAATGGCTGGTTTTTTTTCTTACGACCTCTGTTTGGGACAGTTTTGTAGATAGAAGCACTTTCCAATGCCCCAAAATAACTCTTCCGGAATTGGACATGTTGACCACGAACAATATGAAGCTCTCGGATTGGACGAGATTTAAACGGGCACTTTGTAGCATATTTTTCATCCAAGAATTTGGTCCATCCTTTAATTTGTTCATGATCTACAACCTCTACCTCAAAATGTGATGGGTTTCTTCTAGATTCTTTAACTATATTGACCCAATCTTCAGGAACTTCAGCTCTGGATTTGGTGTTTATTAGTCCCATATTCTTGTCATTTTCCATATAGGAATGACCCCGAATGGGGAACGTCACTGTTACCGATTCTAACTTGTTTTCATAGTTCACTAAATTGAACAAAAATCTGAAGAAAGTAAAGTTCTTTTGTTGCCCAGCACAAGAGTCAGCAAAAATGCGTAAATGTTTGACATTTTCATCCAAATAGTTGTAAACAAAATGGTGTACGAATGTACAAACCTCGTCACTGCCTTTGCCTCCTTCTGTTTGAGGATACATGTAAAATACACTTCTGGCATCGGACAAAACATGTACATTGAATGCATAAACGGACAATTGTCTTTTGTAGTATATGTCGTTTGTAGGGATGTTAGGAACCTGTAAGTTCTTTCCATAATCAATACAAATGGCCTCTAGACTATCATCTACCTTGCTTTGTCGTTTTGCTTGTCTTTTCCTAGAATAAAACTGTTCAGCTTTTCGCTTGTGAACTTCATTTTCAACGTTCAACTTCCTAATATTTAATGTAATATTCGCTTTTTCAAATTCAGGAGCATTTTTTAACTCTAATTCTAATGATCTGACCTTTACCGTAAACTGATCACAAATGCTGCATGCGTCCGTCCTAGGGTATCCAAACGCAATGTTGAAGCTTTCACAAAAGATTTTTCTGTAAGATTCGTACGATACTTTGTACGTAGGAAATTTTTCCTTAAACATCATGTGCATCTTTACAACGTTTAACTCTTCGGGCAGATAGAGTTTGTTCGAGTCATGTAAGCCATAATGACTGCTACGCCCTTTAAAGGACGATATGTGACTTTTTACACAGTTTATTTCGTCATCTGTCAGTTTATGTGGCCTATTATTATGTTTACCTCGTTTATCTTTTGGGGACACTCCAACGAGTTTTAACGATCTGACTAGATATTCAATTTTTTTCTTGCTGATGCCATGTATAGCAATAAATGCTTTCTTACACACGATTTGTTCTGTCATCTTGCCATTAATTAAACCACGGATCTTATACTTATACACTGCATCACATTTTCGAGCATTTTCATTTTTTGTAGGACGGCGTACTGGAAGGACAGTAATTAGGCCGCAAAGATAAGAATTTTGTAAATCATGGGTCTCAAGAAGGTTGAAATTTTTAAGTATTTCAACCCTTGTTTCTTTCGGCACTGATTCAAAACATTTTAGACGGCATAGGCAGTTTGGGCCTGACTCATGACTCATAAGTTTAATTTTCTTACTTACTTCTTTCATTCTTCCGAACGACTTTCGCTTTTTGCTGTCATTTCCACACTTTTTCACAAGCTCATCACTACTATCTTCGTTTTCATCCATAGTTTTTAACTTACGCAAATATTAGTTTGTAAAATGTTGCTAAAACACTCTTCACAACACTATTAGGAACAAAAACATAACCTCAAACTAGTTACAGTAAATGATATTGGGAGTAGTACAAGTTGTCGCCACCAGGAGAAACTGCAATGAGCCCCTTCTTCTCGCTTATTGCTTGAAAGGACTGCAATGAACTCCTTTTTCCCACGAATTGCTTGAAATGAGCTCCTTCTTCCCGAGTGTATTGATTTAAAACCGTGTATTTCCCGCTTAACCTATGAGACATATCAACACAATAATACGCTACATGGACTTGGTTGCTATGGCTACGTTTGTTTGTGTACCAATCTCAAAATCTAAAAAAATGCAATGAGCCCCTTTTTCCCGTGTGCCCTTCAAATATTTACTTGTATTGCTGAATTTGTTTGTAAACCATCAATAATTTATTGCGTTTTTGAAACTCTTATCCGTTCTTATTTGGGGTCTAGTTCGTCCGGAATGTATCAATTCTTATATGAAAAAAATACGACGCGATATACTGGCTGAAATGAAGCACGTTTTACACGTAGTCTTTAAACAGTTCATTTCCAATTCTGTGTATTTAACTGTGTATTTAAGTTTGAAATGTATATGTAAAGCAGAATGTATTAAGTGAAATTAAACGCATTTACGGCATTATTCTTAAATAAAACATGCTAAGCACTTACACTGCCTTAACACTGCCACTGACAGTAACACTGCCAAGTATAATTTGGCACTTTACTAATTTAAGTAGAAGATAATTTTATTTATCGCTGCCAAATGGCTGTCTGGATTATCCGAAGTATGTTTAAACATGTACGGATTATCGAAGGCTTACTGTTATATAATACCTGTAGGGATAACTTTACTACATAATAAATGGCAAAGGAGTATTTTTCATTTCTCATAACAGCGTTTATTTAAATAGCATACACTTTTTGAACTATAACTATGAGCAATATGCTCTTAGATTTTGTTTCAGTATCTTTGTGTTCATTTTGTATTTTTTTTTTTTTCTAACTTTAAATTCGTATACAGGATTTAAACAAATCTGTCTGCTAAAGTTTCGATTAATAAATTTAAAAACAAATCAATGTCATTTTTGACGGTTTGACGTTATTTTATTCCCTTCAAAGAAAAATTTGGAAAAAAGTTGCTCATATTAAAACTTTATAGTAAGTTAAGTTTACAATCTTAAATAAATATTATAAATTGCAAAGGTCATTGTATATCGTTTCTTCCTGGATTTAAACCAATGTTCCTATGGACATTACCAAAGTGGCGATGTCATCATGGCCGTTTTAGCCAAGTCTTACGTAATTTCTAAAACTGTTGTGGACTGGCCTAGCGTCTAAGTGTTCTAGGGTGTAAAAGTGGGACAAAACTCTCACCATCGGCGTCGACCTCCGCGATGATCTCCTTGAGCTGCTTGTCAGACACGTCGTGGCCTAACATAGACAGGATGGTTCCGACCATGTTGGCTTCGATGTAGCCCTTACCGGCGGCGAAGGCATCAAACGCCCTCTTCAGGACTGTAAATTATACAAAATTATTACTCTTGAGATTACAGAACAACACTATTCACTCTTAAGGACTCTGAACAACAATCACCATTCCTCTTAAGGACTCGGAACAATACACTATTTACTCTTAAGGACTCTGAACCACACTCACTATTCAATCTTAAGGACTATGAACAATACTCACTATTCACTCTTAAGGACTTTGAACAACACTCATAATTCACTCTTAAGGATGCTGAACAACACTCACTATTCACTCTTAAGGACTCTGAACAACACTCACTATTCATCCTTAAAGATTCTTAAAAACACTCATTATTTACTCTTAAGGACTCTGAACAAGACTCACTATTCATCCTTAAAGATTCCTAAAAACACTCACTATTCACTCTTAAGGACTCTGAACAACGCTCACTATTCACCCTTAAAGATTCTTAAAAACACTCACTATTCACTCTTAAGGACTCTGAACAACACTCACTATTCACTCTTAAGGACTCTTAACAACACTCACTATTCACTATTAAGGTCTCTTAACAACACTCACTATTCAATCTTAAGGACTATGAACAACCCTCACTATTCACTCTTAAGGGGAGTCGCTACTGAAACTAGTGATTTTTAACAAAATGCTTTTAAAAATTATCATATACTTTTTTTAAGTTCATTTAGTCTTAGAAAAAGATTTACTGCTGTTAAAGTAAGAAAACAAAATTTTTACATACTTTTTGGAGTTTTTAAAGTTTTTTTGGCGGGAAAAAATGGGGGTTTTTTTTAAATCTCCTATAACTATTTAACTACTGAACCAATTTTATTGTTTGATATCTTATTTTAAAGAGCAAAGAAAGCACAAACTTTCTCTGCATACTCATGTTATTTTCTCAATTAGTTTATAAGTTATGGCTTCAAAAATAAGTTTTAGAAAAAAATATAGGTATTAAATCTTTATAATTTTTTTCATGTACTTTTATTTACCCAATTACAATATCCATTCACAGAAAGTTGATTTATAGTATAAACAATGTGTGGTAAAAATTTCATTCATATAGCTGTAACAGTTAAAAAGTTATAAGAACTTATATATAAAAAAAAACAAAATTTTAAAGTCGCAAAAAACAGCGGTTGAAATTTATACTAGGCCTAGTTGATGCCCCAAAAGAGGTGCGCACGCTTCACTTCAAATATTTTTTTCACAGTGATAGAAATATATATTATACCAAATGTTATGTTTTTCTGAAACCTTACAACCCATAGAACAAGATAAAAAAATCATGTTTTTTACAAAATTAGTGATTTTTCAGTAGCGACTCCCCTTAAGGACTATGAACAACACTCACTATTCACTCTTAAGGACTCTGAACAACACTCACTATTCAATCTTAAGGACCCTGAACAACACTCACTATTCATCCTTAAAGATTCTTAAAAACGCTCACTATTCACTCTTAAGGACTATGAACAACACTCACTATTCACTCTTAAGGACACTGACAACACTCACTGTTTGTGAGTAAATGTGTACATATCAATAATAGTTGATTTATTAGGTAGTTACATGGAAATCATATATGAAACATAATCATGAATCATACACGGATCTTAATTTCAAACCTATCTTAGCATAAAACTAATAATTGACTTTAAACGTATTCTTATTCTCTCACTGAGCGTCATTACCTTTTTACTCTTGATGATTGTAAATAGCACAAACTATTAGCTTGTAAATAATGTTTGGAATCCTCGAATAATTGACTTTACTCGGCTCTAAACTCAATTTACTCTTAACGAATGTAAACAACAAAAACGTCTAATGTTAAGGGTTGGATTGAATTAATTTATATTATACCACAAAAACTGTGTACAATGCAATCTATTTACCCTAAAGAACTGTAAGCAATATAAATGATTTCCATCAACTGTGCACAGCTTAAACAATTTACTTTTCAGGACGGCAAATAACACAATCTGTTATTAGATGATTAAGTGTTATATGTGGATACAGAACGATTCATTTTATTTCTAGATGTTTTAAAAATGAAAATGGTGAATATTTTAAACCTTCAGCTAAACATTGTGGACATTTTAATGACGCAATTGGATTGTTAATTATATTTTGTGGGTTTTAACTGATTTTAAAATTATAACTTACGGGTCATTTGCTCCTTGTCAATATCTTCCTATAAATAGAAACAAATATAATTAGAACACATTTATTACACTCTTTATAGAAAATATTTACTAAAAATTAACTTAAAATCAAATTAAGAAGAAGCATTATAAAGACAATGGAACTTAAACTTATTAATAATTTATTTCCAATTAAATACACCCCGTATTTGTTTGCATTTTATGGGATGGATTATTCAACAAGACCTTTTTTTCTCATGAATCCTTCTACCTTCAACTGATAGAGATATTGTATGAGCAAAATAAAATAAATTTGATACTGTGTTATAAATGGCGACTCTTGGGAACATAGTTTTTTGTAGCTACATGTTTAACTTCTACAAATATCGACATACGTTAAGTTCTATGAAATCCCCATCATGGGTTTATACTAACATAGGGTGTAAACTGGGGAAAATATTCTTGTAGCAAAATGCAAAAAGTTCTTGAAGTGAAGTCTTATGGCAAAAATATTTTTTGTACCATTTATATATTTATTTTACATTCCAATGGACAGCTCCATTTTGATATTTTGGTGCATTTTTATGAAATAAACTTACAACTGAATTCCTAAGTGAAATAAATTTTACTTTGTGAGTTAAACTGTCACGTTTTAACGTATAGCCTAATAACCTAATGTTATAATCATACCAAAATTAAAAAAAGTTAACTTTTGTATGATTGCACCCATGTCCTCCTTTTACTACAGTTTTTAGACAAACCAATACAAGTTACGCACGAAAACTTGGCTAAACTGTTTCCAATACTTGTATTACCGACAGTTTAAGATTGTTCTGTGGAAAGTTTATTTTTAAAACTTCCCTTGCAATTCTGTGTTCTTTGCCTAGAGGCTGTTTTGCTTTCACTTAGTTTAAAACATGTTGGATTCTAATATAAGTTTTTAAACATCTTTGATGTGATGAGTCACTCATTCCTTACTTGAAGTCACTAAACGAATAAGGACATATCAAGTCAATATCCTAATAAAGGTTTTCAAGTTTTGTTTGGGGAAATAAACTGGAGTATGTACGATTACAGTTTACCTAGTATTTACGAACAAATTTAATACAATATAGGCTTCGTATTATTATGATCTATTTACAGTCACGGTTTAAAAATATCTTAACGGATTTTCAAAGGGCATAACTATTTTCAAAAGGCCCAAACAATGTAAATGTTTGAAATGCATTCAACAATATCTTTATTCCGTACAATTTTGTTAAAGTGGAAACATAGTGAAAAAATAACAGTGTATTAAAATGTACTTTTTTTTAATTACTTGCTTTAAACATTTCGGGGTTTGCACCCAAATGTCTATTGAATAGCTTTGATGTGAAAAAATTTGTATTCGTAATTTTCATAAATAATGTAAACACTTTATTTTATACATCTTTTCAACTATCGCCATTAGTTAATGTAAAATATACATCTCTCTTTACATTTTTTCACATGTAAGTTGTGTTAAATTTTGTTGTTATATGTTATATTATATTTACCCATTTTCTAAGTGTAACAGTTTCCCAATTAAACCATATCCAGATTAGAAAATTTAATATGTTTTTTGAAATACATAAATTATTTTACGTTTTTTCATCAAGATTTAGATACATTTGCCTGTAGAAAAATACAAGTCGGTTTTTATGACTATTTATGTCGATTAGTTTAATTATTAGCTAGTTAGGTTTATTATAGTTTTATTCACGTAGGTTGTTTTTGGTTGTTTGTTGTGAAACATTTTCGCAGGTTATTTAATCAGTAATAGTGGTTTGAAAGCATTTCTGTAAGAAGGTACCTTACATTCCTCACACAGCCTGATTTCACACTCATTTGTACAAAACATTCTTTAGATATGTCATGTACACTACGTACGAACTTGGGTAAAATAACTACATTATGTATTATTTAGGTTTTCAACGTACGTTTAGTGATTCAAGTTATCAGAGCGTTCTAACTATTAAATCTGATTTCAGGTGAGTGATATTACTTCCTGGCAGAACGTAAGTGCAACTAAACTATCTGAACATAGTGCTTAATTAAGTTTTGTGATAAGTGGTCTGCAGAAGGTTAACTGTTAATGGAGTTAGCGTTAATGGTTAATGGTTAATGCAGATGCACCGTGCTTCAACACACTGACTGCTTGAGTTAAAATTCTTTTTCTATGCTTTTTAAATCCATTTAGTAATGGTTCACAAAGAAAATCTAAAATGTTAGGGTTACATAGTTTTATAATACGGTCATATCTATGATTTATTGGTTTCAGTGTTATACATTGAAACAATATGCACTCTGTATTTAAATCTAAGCGTCGTAGGCTATTTTGAAATAAATGACCATGAAAACACAGGTTATTATAAGTAGCGAGTTTTATATACACGTACATATTGTATTTTTTTAGATGTTATGGGATTAATATTGTTCTTAGATTATGACATGAAAATTATAAATTTTGTTTACCTCAAATACCTAACATTACTTACTACAACTAATTAACTTTAAACAGTTTATTGTCCAACGTTACATATATACTAATATTAAAAAATATTCTATGAAATTAAAATTTTTAGTATAGGATTTAACAACAAAGTTGTCAAGTTCCAAACAGTCTTCACCACTCTCATAAGATTTAATTAAAACTTTGTTAGCTAAAAAATTGTTATTTACAAAAAAATGTATAAAGCAATGTTTATATATTATGTGCTAATTTTTAACTTTGGTTTTAAATTTTTAAACATGAAGTAATTTTCTCAATCATGTGGAGTCTAAGAAAGTCCAAACTAATTGATACCGTTCCTAAAAGCCCAAATAAATTCAGAACAAGAAAAAATGTTCACATAAAATAATAAAACTAACTAATTATGAAAAATACATGGGTATTTATTTGAAAAGAATGTGTTATATAGTTGAAATTTACTACATTCCTTGATCTGTTTAAAATATCACAACAAAAGTGGTTTTCACATCTACCCAAGAATGTGAGTAATTCGACTAAACTGATAATGCCTTTAACCCTTTTCATCTATCTCCTAAGAATAAAGATTTATTTACAACATGAAGTAGTTCTCACAACGACTAGGAGTCTGAAAAAGTCTAACTAGATCAGTGTTTAAAGATTTGTTATTGCCTCTGGAAGGCAAAATATCAATAAGATAATGTTTTGCGAAGAAGGAGAGGTATATATTTACTATGCGCAAACCCTATAAATGCGCAACAAACTTATCTTTTAGCTTCAATAAAGGAGGAGAATTAAAAATTTAGAAAATATTTACCCTCCTATTAAAATAACACTAAAGTACGCAACATATTTTAAAATGTTCATCCAAAAGATGTGTTTATGTAATACAAATCAAGAATGTATCTCACAAAGTATATGAATTTATCAAACTTTATCATCGGTTTATTAATACTTTTACTCTCTTTAGTATACATGTGGTGTTCAATGAATTAAAGTCGAAATCCAATAAAATCCAAACTCTACTAATTTTTTACTCCTAAGATAAAGGATTAATTATTTTCAAAATAATAGACTTTTTTTATTTGTCCATTAACAATGTTTTTGTTTAGCTTCAATAAAGTAGTTACACTGCGATTCTGAGTGTGAGAAAATCCATTTCAATTTATTTATTACCAAAAATAATATTTCACTTTCACAATAAAACACTTATGCGTTCAATATAATTCAAAATTTATATTAAAAGAGTTGTGTGTATACACTTGAGAAGTGTGTAGTAAAATATATGCAATTTAAAATCTTCATCACTGGCTTAAGCTGAATACACAACCTTTAGTATTCTAGGAATCATAGTCATAATCTAATAAAATCCATATCGTTCCCAAAATGTCTTGCCCATCCCCTAGAGAAAAGATCAAATATTTTCCAAAATGGTATATTTAAAAGCCATTCATTCACAAAAGTAGTAAAGTATATGCATGTCAAATATTTACAAAGGTTTCAAATTTCACAACATGAAGTAGTTTCAATAAGTTTAAGAAACAATTTCTGTTTAATCTTCAACCTCAAGGAATGTGTAACAAATTTTACAAATCATAAGTGCGGCATCCAAGTGGTTTCCCACGCCAATGTGTTGTATATACATTGTTATATACACTGTTATATATACTATAATATATAGTATTTATATGTATATATATGTATATGTATAATATATATATACTGACCGTGGCGACCATGTTGAGTCCGGTGTGAGAGGCGTCCGCTGCGTCAACTGAAGATCATCACAGGTTCCAAATTCCGCGTAGGCTCTAAATTTACCCGCGGAATCTAGCTATTTTCCCGCGATTGTTGGTGCTCTCCCCCTCCTCCTACGCAGAAAACGGTTATAGTTGTTGTACAAGCAGAAAATAGAAGTGCCCCAGTCCCCCTCTCGGACCTAGCCACAACGCGGGGTCTTGTCCCTGGATGTTTACTGTTGTTTCCATTGTATTTTGTGTTGTCTGGGTGTAAATCATATTTTACCTCCGTATTTTACTGTTGCTTCAATTTCACATGTTTAAATCGTTGCTTACGCCTGAACGCTTTCATTTTACAAACGATAACATAGTAAATACTTTGTTTTGCGTTGTAGAGAAGATTTTCGCTAGATGCTTAAGTCCTAGGTCCTAGAACGATTCTAGGCAATATTTATTCAATTGGATATTGTGTTCTCAATTGTAGAACATTTTTACTACATTTTTAAAACATAGATTTCCCCCTAAATTCTTCCATTTTATCGTAGCTTTTATTGTTGTCTTGAGTCTTAAATTTTCATTAGATCTTACGGAAGTTTTCGTAGTGGTTTACAAGTAAAAGAATTTTATTTTTTAGTTTATTGGACTTCACTGTACTCAAAACGTACCTAAGAAGTTGCTAATTTAGGCCTACTTACACGTACCCAAAGCTGTATTCTCTTTTTCTATTTCATTCAGAGTTCCTACGATTTTTTTTCAACGATCTATCAACTCTGCTATAGTTTAATAACCCGTACTAACTAAATGATTTTATAGGTTATGAAATGACAAAAAACATAACACACATATAGAAAAAAGTATAATCACATAATTATAATTTAAGAATATAATTCATTCACTTTGAATCTGACGTGTCAAACACCAACACGTTTTCCTTAATTTTAAAACATACCAATTCCACTATTTCCACCGTTATCAATGACCCATATATTTAAATAGTACAAATCTATGGATAGCGCAAAACACAGTTTGAAGACACCGTAGACTTTTAACATATTCCAACAGAGTTTTTGCTCAACACGATTTTTTTAAATAAATTTAATGTTCATTCTCTATCTTGAGGAAAGTCCAACTAAATTATTTAACAGGTGAGATGGCGCTGGGAATACAACCTGTGTCTTGGTTGGAGGATAATTGTTTCTCGCAGAAGAAACACCGCCATCTTGTAAAGCTTTGTAGTCTGGTCACGATGTGGACGTGAGTGGAAGATGTAAGAAGGCCTCGGACATTAGACCTAACACACCGACCGACGTTATGGCCAATAGTGTCGGGTGGCAAAATTAAAGATTTACTTTGTTAAAAAAATATATTTCTGTAGGAGGATTTGGCAGAAATCGTTGTCGAGGATTCTGAGTGCTGCGTAAGATTATTGCTATTTTATTATATGTAGTTTGAGTGGATCGCCAAGTAGTTAAATTTATCGTCATATTTGTTTCCGTACAAAAAAGTGCGATGAACATGGTTTCATATGAAAATCTATAACTCATAATATATACGTTAACTGGCTCAATAAAATGTTATTGCTGTTTTTGTGGCAGTAATAAATATTGAGATGAATGTTTGAGAAGTAAATTTAGAAATCACACCAGTCCCAATTGAGACGAAAGTTAAAAATGTTGATTAAATGTTAAAAATAATAGTTTTTTTAAAATCTAAAATTATAGCAACACTGCCGATTATTGGAGGACATTTGTTAACTTATTGAGCTGAATCTTTTTCTTTTGTCAAATTCCAAATAATAATTTTTCATCTCTTTCGTCCACATTTATTGACTATAAGGGAAATAAGGGGTGCATATAGTAATGAAAAATATTTAGTCAACTTTCTGATTAAACATTTTTATTTTATCAAATATCGAATGTCCATATTCATCGTTTGTTTAAAGTTATTGCGTACGAATATAAATTTGTTCTTATAAACATAACCTTAGGAATCTTAGACTAAGTTAAACTAAGTTAAAAATGATAATTTTAGAAATAATCAAAATACATGCAAGTTGCTCAATACTTCAGGTTTTTCTGATTATTTAAATAGTTTGATTGATAAATTTCTTCCTTCTTCGGAGTATTGTACATAATAAATAAACAGAAGTCCAGGTGCAATGAATAACCAATGCTGCGTCAGTCGTTTTGAGGAAGCACGTTTAGACTTTATCACTGTCCAAAGACAGGAACATCGTGGGCTGTGAATAATTAAGTTGTCTTTTAAATACGGTTTTTGGGAAGAGTATTTGTCTTTTGTATCTCGCTCTTGAATACATAATCATTCAGGTTAAATATAATCGATTAAATAATAGTTTTTTTTTTCAGCTGAAGACAGTATTTTTGGTGTATTGTTGTTGTATATTCAGTATACAACAACAATAATCAATTTGATTATTTCTCAGCTGATCATAGCCAAATAACACGTAAGGTCCTGTTTATGACATTGTTATTACACTCTCGTATTAAGTGAAAGGGAAACGAACGGTACGATTTCTCATGAAATGGGATAGTATCAATGTGATACAAGTTAGCTCGCACAAACTTACCTGAGATGAAATACAGATAAAATGTACATTTTAATATAGTATAAGTCAATATTAATTTTCAAAATCAATGCGACATAATATACTGTATTACCTAAATAAAAAATCTGGGAACTTAGCCTACGGTTGTTTTTAAAAACTGTTGTTATAAGTCTATATTTTGAAACACCAGTCAGCAAATAGGAAAATATTTCTGGTGTGTTTTAAAAACACATCGATATGGTTGGCTCTAATGTGGATTTTTGTATAACAAAAAAATTTACAAGGCCTGTTTAGCCATTTCCATGGCATTAATAACCGACAAAAAATGGTTTATCCCTATTTCCCATTACCCTGTTAAAACGGTTTAAAGATATTTTGAAAAAATAATCTATACGTTAATATAATCTGTAATATGGTTTTTGTCAAACCGACGCAGTAATGTGCCCATTATTATGTATTTTTGGAGACACGCGCTTTCTCTTGACAGTGATTAATTTTTTGGCACAAATCCCACAGCATTGTTTCTAGTGCTTGGCTAATCCGACCTTGTTGGTTCAACCTTCTTTTAGTTGTCTTCCGTTTATTTATAACATATCTGATATCATAAACTGGAAAATTTGAAATATTGTTATTGTATATCTAAATTAGAAATAAAAATTATGATTAACCGCATCAGAAAAGGACATTTTAAATGTGCGTCTAATCAAACTTACCTTAGATTCTTTAAAAACTTTAAACTACTTTTATTTTCAAAATAGTTTAAAGCTCTTGGTTTCGTTTGAAAAAGCAAGTTTGTATCCAAAAGTTACTAAACACTGGGATACAAAAATACTTAGAAATCAATGCATAACAGTATCATCGGTTCAATAACTGATTGTTCAATACTGCTACTAAATAATAAAATGAAGTATACTAAGATTCTGAAAAGTTAAAGTTCTCTGTAGGCAATCTTGGCAAAATCCGAAGACACCACCTGAAATCCGAATTTGTATATATTGGTCTGTTAATTTGAGAAATAACAATTATTAAAATAATTAAACAGTAAAAAAATAAGAAACAAGACAATATAAATTACAATTAATTATCAGTATACATTTTTTTTTTTAGAAGGCAAACAGGCCACATTCAACGTACAGATATGCAATAAGTCATTATTTCTAATGTTGTTCAGCCGACTGGAGTTAAATATGTATTTAAATTTCGTGGGATCCTTTACAAAAACGTTTTAGAACCCCTCATGATAAAATACACAACATTAAATGAAAATATCGGAGGAATTAGCAAGGTTTGTAAAACAAATGCTAACAAACTCTACGTTTTGTTTAGTCGTGTTGAAATTGAAAAACTTTGCTAATGTTACTGCAAGCGCTTGCTTTAGGCTTAAGACTTAGTTGCGTTTCCTCTTAAAACTCGTTCGGAAATTATTAATATGTCCATTAGTGAATGCGTTGGATTAAATGTAGTCCACGTGTGTAACATAGAAATGACTACAGTTTTTTGTAAATTTTTTTTTTTTAAATTGGTTCAATCAACATTGATACTGTCCTTTTTGGAGGCAGTCATTTTTGAAGTTTTAATGTTTAAGCTTAAGGCTGTACGAATTGATTTTTATTTCATTAAAATCGTTTTATTATACGACAAAACAAGGAAAGGCACATCAAATAAAAATTTAAAAAGTATATTGCTTGCAGAAAAATTTTCCTTTCTTCTTTATTTAAGCATAAACAATTTTCTGATATTTGCCTTTAAATTTGTTATTAATTGTACATGTTAATAATTATATTGAATGAAATATCAAACATATACAAAAATCATACTTCTATTGTATCATTGAATTAACAGCGTATTAAGAGTGTTTGATCATATTTACCCAATATAACATTAAATACCATTTATTGCCTATTGAATTGGTTCTCTGGTTACACGATGTGTTTTTTATATTTTGTTTATTTACAGTAACATATTAATTTGAAAATTGTCTATTAATTCATTACAGTATATAACAGTAATACAGTTAAAGTTAGTTTTTTATAAAAGCGGTTGTAAATTTAACTAGGCTGTAGTTTAACTGAAGAGAACAATATTATGAGGCAAGTTTAAAACGATAAAAAGTTTCTTGAGGAATCTTAAAATTCAATTCAATTCTGTAGAGTATTGGGAAAAGTTTTGTTAAGTTGGTGAACTAGATATGTGTCTGATTTATTTTATCGCTGTAAATGTAATTACGATTGAAAGATCAATCACGATAATTATCAAGCATTATTGAAACTAAATACATTTGGTTTCTTTTCTTTACTTACAAGCTGTTGAAAATAGGTTTTAACTGTTTCTACGAGTTACATGATGAACATAAAAAAAAAAATTTCTACCTAAGCTATTATCACGTTTGGTGATTCTGATTTTGATTGTTCATCTTTTTATACACTAAAACATATTTTTGAAATAAGAAATATAGTAAGATAGTTCAAATGTATAAAATTACATTATTCCTTTTTCCTGTTTGTTTTAGACGGTTATTTTGGTTTCACTGAGATGTTTTTTTTTGCA